CACACCTTTCCTCCCAACTGAATGAGAGTTAACTTAGGCATAGAATATGGGGAATGGGAAGGTTATTAAAAGTTCACAGGATGCCCTCATTGTGTAGATGAGGGCCTGAAGCCCAAAGATGTGAAGCAATTCGCATAGGACCACAGAGCTGCCTCATGGCATTAAGATGCTGTGAGTAAAATCCTGCTCTCCATTCTCTGCACTCATTGCTTTGTTTGTAGTACAGGCTGGGCCTGAGTCACATTGTCATGTTCTTATTCTATTTCAGATAATACTGACCCGAATAATGAATTTCCTTAGTGCCCTGGGAGCAATAGCTGGAATCATTCTCCTCACATTTGGTTTCATGCTAGATCAAAACTACATCTGTGGTTATTCTCAACAAAATAGTCAGTGTAATGCTGTTACTGTCCTGTTCATGGTAAGTATGTTGCATTTATAGAGTGAGAAGTAAAGGGCTTAATAGAAAATATTTATTAGCACTCAATCAGCGCCACTCAGATCATGTTGTGGACACCCATGTCTTTTCTTTTATTGACAAACATTTATGAAATCCATAATATTTGATAGATATTATACCAGGCATTGTGGAAGAGAAAAAATAAACCCATTATAACTCCCACCTTTAGGGATTCACAGGCGCACAAGAGATAAAACATATACACAAATCAGTATAATACAAATAGAAAATGATACACTAAAAAGAAAAGGTACAGCAGTATGGCTGTAGTTTATAGTCCTATATGTACATTAGAATCACAGTGGCATGTTTTTACAGTTCTTGATTTGATTTTAACGGGCTGAACTTCTGATAAAGCATGATAAAATTGAAAAGGGGCATTTATTTTAGCTGCTTCCAAAATACCACTAAGATTAGTGTAAAAGAATGTAAAAGGTTTGAGCCACATGGAGAGAAAAAGAGAGTTACCAAACACATCAAAAATTGCTGAGGAAATTGAAAACCCACCATCTAAGGCAAAGGGGTTGGGGGTCATATTAGAAGATATTTCTTAAGGCAAAGCCCAAGAAATACTTAACATTTGAATGCACCAGGTCCACAGAAAGCAGGACCAACGTGCAGAAAACAGGGAGACTGATTTAGGTAATGGTTAAGTATGGCTACGTGAATCAGCTCTTCTCTGAAAACAGAAGTTTTTTATTAAAAAGAAACAAAACAACCTTAAAGGTGTTAAAAAGCTGAAAGTTCAGCTGAAACTACTAAACCAATTTTTCGATGAAAGCCTGCAACCTGAAATTTACAAGTGGAATTCTGAAGAGCACGAAAGCTGCTCATGTCTTCAGACCCACTTGCCAGTGATGCTGATTTGCAATCCAATCCCTGGCCCGTGTGGACTGAAAGAGAAGGAAGTCAAGGTTTCACGTCCATTCAAGGTATAAAGACTTAAAAGAGATTTTCTCCATATGAAACTAAGTCTTTGATAGGCTACGACGCTCTTCAGGTAAGGACAAAAAGATATACAAAGTACCCTGCCCCCAAACAGCAAAGGAGAGTTGCTGAACAAAGTTTAAAAAGAAGACACGGACGCAGGGAAGGGAATATCACACACCAGGGCCTGTTGGGGGTTACTGCGACAAGGGGAGGGAGAGCATTAGAACAAATACCTAATGCATGTGGGGCTTAAAACCTAGATGACAGGTTGATAAGTGCAGCAAACCACCATGGTACATGTATACCTGTGTAACAAACCTGCATGTCCTGCACATGTATCCCAGAACTTAAAGTAAAATAAAATAAAAAAAAGAATACAGTAGACTGTCATTAACTATGGGCACCCCGCTGTATAACGGATCTCTTGAACTTATTCCTCCTATCTAACTAACTGATGGAAGTGAAAAGACAATAGAATTACATCTTTAAATTGCTAAAACAAAAATAATGCCAATCCAAAATTCTAGGCCTGGTGAAAATGTTCTTCAGAAATGAAAGTGAAATAGCCAGGCACAATGGCTCAGGCCTGTAATCCCAGGACTTTGGGAGGCCAAGGGGGGGCAGATCACTTGGGGTCAGGAGTTCGAGACCAGGCTGGCCAACATGGTGAAACATTGTCTCTACTAAAAATACAAAAATTAGCAGGGCGTGGTGGCGGGTGGCTTTAATCTCAGCTACTCGGGAAGCTAAGGCAGGAGAATCATTTGTATCTGGGAGGCAGACGTTGAAGTGAGCCGAAACTGCGCCACGAAACTGCGCCACTACACTCCAGCCTGGGCAACAGAGAAAGACTCCGTCTCAAAAAAAACAAACAAAACAAAACAAAACAAAAAAACCACAATGAAAGTGAAAAACAGCTGACAAATTTGAGAGATTTCACGATTTCACTTAGAGCATTTTCAACAATTAGCCATATGCTGAGCCTGCAAGCCTCAACAAAATTCAAAGGATTAAAATCATACACAATATATTCTCTGAAAACAATGGAACTGAATTAAATGTCAATTTTTAAAAGGCAAAAAAAGTCCCAAAACTGTTTTGAAATTCTAAGTTATACAAGGTTCAAATAATTTACAATAGAAATAAAAAATATATTAAAAACAAAATAATAGAAATATTTATATAAATTGATACAACTAAAGCATGCTTAGAGGAAACTTTATAACCTCAAATGCAAGTATTGGGAAAGAAAATAGACTAAAAATAAATTATCTAAATATTCATACCAAGAAGTTAGATTAAAAAATTAAACATAAAGAAAATGAAAGAATTGAGATATAGTATTCTATAATAGAGATAACAAAGAATAGAGATAAAAACTAATGAAATACAACACAAACAATAGACAAGATAAAATAAAGCTAAATATGGATGTTTGAAAAACTAATAAAATTGGTAAACTCCTAGATATTTAAAAAGAAAAAAGAGAAAACACAAGCTATCATTATCAGAAATGAAGGTGTATCACTATAAATACAATAGCCAAGAATATATGAGGAAATTATTAACATAAAAATTACTTGATGCTTTAGATGAAATTGACAAATTCCTTATAAACTATGCAAAACCACTTGCCACGACTAACACAGGAAAAAATGTATATATCCGACTGGTCTTATATCTAAAAAAATCAAATACATAATTTAAAACTCTCTCTCTAAAAAGAAAAAGCAAAGCCTTGCAGGAGTAGACTAATTCTTCCAAACATTTAGCAAAGAAACAACACCAAACTGAATACTTTCAATTCACTTCTCAACTCACAAATATTTGTGTGAGGCTATCACAAGTTTGACATCAAAACATGATAAGGACATTATAAAATATTTTAAAATTACAGGTAATTCTATCTTGTAAACTTTGTGAAGCAATCTGAAATAAAATATTAAAAAATCAAATTCAGCATTATATATAATAAACCGTGGCCAAGTCAGTGGATACCAGAAGTACACAATTGATTTCACATTCCAGCGTCAATCAGCGATACACCTAAATGTGAAATCCTAAACTATAAAGCTTGAGGGGATGGGCTGCAGGGAACTCAGGAGAATATCTTCATGACCGTGGGAGTAGACAAAGCTTTCTTAGATAGAACATAAAATGGACTAACCATAGGGGAAAAATAAAATAAATAAAATGGACTACCAAAGCACAGAAAGGGAGAAAATTTCCTCTTTCTCTATATATCTTTCTCACAAAAGACCCACATCCAGAATATATTAAGCACTCCTGAAAATCAATAATAAAAAGGCCAAAAAAAGAGTAAGACTTGAGCAAGTACTTCACAAAGATAGATAAATGGCTAGTGAGCATGTGGGAACGTGCTCAACATTATTAATCATCCCATAAATGCAAATTAAAATCACAATAAGACACTACTCCACACACACCAGAATCAATTTAATTAAAAGGACCGGCAATACCACATGTTGGAAGGAATGTGAAGCAACTGGAACTCTTAGACCCTTTTGGTGGAAATGGAAAATGGAAAATGGTTCAACTACCTTGAAAAACTATTTGGTGGTTTTTAACAATCATACACCTACTTTATGTCTCATGATACATACAAAAATGTTTATAGCAGTCCTATTCATTATAGTTAATCTGGTAAGGAATTCAAATTTCTATCAACAACAGAATGGCTAAAACAAGTTAATTATTCAAATAGTAGAATATTCCTCAGCAATATAAAAGAACAACCTACTGACACACAGAGGAGCATGAATGAATTTCAATTTGTTATATTGAGGCAAACAATTTCAGATAAAAACTAAACAGGTAAATTTATATGATACTAGAAATCAGAAGGGTGGTTGACTCTCAGTGGGGTGGGAGGATTGATTGGGAAGGGACACAAGAGGATTGATTGGGAAGGGACACATTTTATCACTGGGGTAATAAAAATGTGATATATCTTGACGTGGAAAGAAAAAGAGATAAAATACACTTCTTCTTTTTTTTTTTTTTTGAGATGGAGTCTCACTCTGTTGCCCAGGTTGGAGTGCAGTGATGCGATCTCAGCCTACTGCAACCTCCGTCTCCCAGGTTCCAGCGATTCTCCTGTCTTGGCCTCCAGAGTCGCTGGGATTATAGGCACATGCCGCCATGCCCAGCTAATTTTTTGTATTTTGGTAGAGACGGAGTTTCACCATGTTGCCCAGGCTGGTCTCAAACTCCTGAACTCAGGCAATCCACCCGCCTCGGCCTTCCAAAGTGCTAGGATTACAGGCATGAGCTGCCACAACCAGCTAAAATACACTTCTTTATATATAAACTTTGCTATAGTTAAAAATGGAAAATATAGTTTTAAAGCAGATAACAGCAACATTTTCATGTTTTTATATACGGAGTGCATATAACTGACAAGAAAAGTCAAGAACAAAATTTTTAAAAGATAAAGAATATGAGGAAGGAATTTACAAAAAGGAAACTATGATGGCCAAACATACAATAATGCTCCAATTCACTAATAGTCAGGGAAAGGTCAATTAATTTAACAATGAATGGCAATGTCACTGCCATTTTGGGAAGCAAGGAGACAACATTTACTTACCTGACTGATAAACAGATCCAGATGTCTATCTCTACAGCAATTAAACCACCTACATAAGGGTACATGTACAAGAATGCTATTGCAGCATCGTTCAGAGCGGTAAAACAAAACAACAAAACAAAAAAAAAAAAAGAAAGAAAGAAAGAGGAAATCAGTCAGTTCCTGTCACAAAAGAATAAATGAATGGTGACAAACCACACCATGAACTATTATGTGGCCATTAAAAACCATGTGGCTGTAAAACAGCTACTGAACCTATAGTTAAAATATAGTAGACAAATAAGGCTTTAGGAGAGGATGTTAACCATATTAACCTTTACAACCTGAGTATAAAGTAAAGCTCTCAGAAGACTGCAAACTTTAACTGGTAAGTGCAGATGTGCAGTCTCTGGGCTACTGAGGAGATGTGCATCTCTATTTGTGCTCATAGTGCCAAAATACAAAACATTTTGAAGGTCTTTTGCCATGATTGAAAAAAGCACAGCTGGGGCCAGGCCATGGTGGTTCATGCCTGTAATCAGAGCACTTTGGGAGGCCAAGGCGGGCAGATCACCTGAGGTCAGGAGTTCAGCCTGTCCAATATGGTGAAACCCCGTCTCTACTAAAAATACAAAAACTAGCCGGGTGTGGTGGTGGGCACCTGTAATCCCAGCTACTCGGAAGGCTGAGGCAGGAGAATCGCTTGAACCTGGGAGTTGGAGGCTGCAGTGAGCCGAGATCCTGCCATTGTACTCCAGCCTGGGTGATAAGAGTGAAACTCCATCTCAAAAAAAACAAACATGGTGGAACTACTAGCCTATACTGCTTATGTCTCTTTTGCTTTCTCTTTTTCTGAGCCAATAGTTTTCTTTTTTCCCTCTTTTTCTTTTCTATTTTTAATTCTTTTTCCTGTTTCTTCACCTTCTGTCTTTCCCCTTCATTAGACTACCTTTTATATATGCATTTCTTTGCATTTTATGTATTTATAAAATGGACTATTTCCTACATACATAAATCAAAAATGTATTATTTTATATGCCTTTCTCTAAAAAGATAATATGCTATGCTATGCTATGTTATCCTATGCTACGCTGTGCTATGCTATGCTATCCTATGCTATGCTATCCTGTGCTATCCTATGCTATGCTATGCTATCCCATGTTATGCTATGCTATGCTATGTTATCCTAGCTATACTATGCTATGCTATCTTACGCTATGCTATCTTACGCTATGCTATGCTATGCTATGCTATGCTATGCTATGCTATGCTATCCTATGCTATGCTATGCTATGCTATGCTAGCTATCCTATGCTATGCTATCCTATGCTATGCTATGCTATGCTATGCTACGCTACGCTATGCTATGCTATCCTATGCTATGCTATGCTATGCTATGCTATGCTATGCTATGCTATGCTATCCTATACTAAAATAGACGTATCTCATAATCCTTCACTGATTTGATTCCTAAGCATCAGATACACTTGAGATATATGGGGAAGCTTTTATTATCTGGACATTGCTATGTTATTATAATCAGAAAAACCATTACCCTGCTAACATCATGACTCTTCTTTTTTTTCTTCTTCTGTTACAGGGAATTTTGATTGCATTGATGACTTTCAGCATTATTGAATTATTAATTTCTCTGCCCTTCTCAATTGTGGGGTGCCACTCAGAGGACTGTGATTGTGAACAATGTTGTTGACTAGCACTGTGGGAATAAAGATGTGTTAAAATATTATTTAGCAATGACTTCTGCTTGTAAGGAAAAGCCAAAGGACACATAGAATCTTAAGGCTGGAAACTATCTGAAGCAAAGGGGAGTGGCTCAAGCGAGGGGGTTCTGGGGACATTTTGACTGATAAAGCACATTCTGCCTCTTGGCAATGCCATATGTCCCTCTCCCCAAATCAAATGGTCACCTTGGTGTTGTCACCTCTGTTAGTCATGCATTCTTTCAACTAAAGGACAGCAATGTGGTGTTGCAAAGATAGGAACCAAAGCCCAAGGCCTGGGGTGACCCAGTCGTCTAACTTCTCTGGTTGATGACATCTCCTGCTGATTTCACTAAGAGACTCCACCTAGTGGCTCCTACTCCAATGGTGTGTGGAAAGATGAGTTGGTTGGTGGAATGGTTTGGCCCACAAATTCTACATTAATGCTGCAAGATCTTCAATGTTAAAGAGCTGATCAACTAGAATAGTAACAATAGTAAAAATAATGAGGGCAAATATTGGTGGAACCACTACTATATTCCAGGCATCATTCTAAGTATTATATAGGTGTTACTCATTTAATCTCACAAAAATCCTAGGAGGTGAATTGTATCATTATACCGATTTTACAGAAAAGGAAACTGAAGCACAGAGCGGGTAAATAATTTGCTCAACGTCATGAAGTTTGCAATGGCAGAGTCATAATATCAACAGGCAGTTGGATCCAGAATCCAAGGTCTTAATTCCAATGCCAAGAAAAGTTCGGAAGGGACTATTTTCCTCTGGGTTCTCTTAACAGCTTTTGCATTCAATCTGTTATGGTATCTCATGTTCTATAGCCTATGGAGTATACCACTATAAAGTTGTGAAAAGAGAAATAAGGTCTTAGTGTCATTATAAAAATAGTTTTGAACTTAGAGAGCACCTACAAACATCTCAAGGACCCCAGGAAATTCCAGACCACACTTTGAGGACCACTACATTATACAGTATTGCCTCTCACTGGCTGAATATCTCCTAAGCATTAGAGGTCTTACCTGTATCATCTCACTTGTCCTGACAGTCCTCAGGGTAGGTATGTCTTTTGTCATAGTCATAAAAATTGAAGCTCAAAGTGGTTAGCTTTTCTGAAACACAAAAGGAGTGTGATTTAGAAAGAGGATTTGAGTCAAGGTCCCTAAATTCAAATCCCATAATCCTATGTTGTTTATGGTATAGAAAAAAATTCAGCAGACTCAAAAAACTAAGTAACGGGCTTTCATTTCTGCTATTTGCTGGAAGCAGCTTAGGTTATAGGTGCATGTGTGAAGGTGAGGGATACAACACGGCAGGAAAAATAAGTAACTTTTTTTACTTCCAGTGAAGTTAGGTTCTGATGAAAAATACTTGGCAACTGAATGATGTACAGATGTGTGAGGCTTGAGATATATTTAAGGGTGCAAAGTCTTGGGCTTGTAAGTCAGAAGTAGGTTTAAATGTTGTCTTGAAGTCAAAAAATAGTAGATGCAAGTTGTGGAGAAAAGAGAATGCTTATACACTGTGGGGAGGAATGTAAATTAGTTCTGCCACTGTAAAAAAAGCAGTTTGGCAATTTCTTAAAGAACTCACAGCAGAATTACTATTCAACCCAGCAATCCCATTATTGGGTACATACCCAAAAGAATATAAATCGTTCAACCATAAACACATATGAACCTGTATGTTCACTGCAGCACTATTTGCAATAGCAAAAACATGGAATCAACCTAAATGCCCATCAACAGTAGACTGGATAAAGAAAATGTGGTACATATACATCATGGAATACTGCACAGCCATAGAAAAGAATGAGATCATGTCCTTTGCAGCAACATAGATGAAGCTGGAGGCCATCATCCTAAGCAAACTAACACAGGAACTGAAAAGAAAATACTGCATGTGTTCTCACTTATGAGTGGGAGCTAAACATTGAGTACATATGGACACAAAAAAGGGAACAACAGGCACTGGGGCCTACTTGAGGGTGGAGGATGGGAGGAGGGTGAGGATCAAAAAGCTACTATTGGGTACTATGCTTATTACCTGGGTGACAAAGTAACTTGTATATCAAACCCCCGTGACATGCCACTTACCTGTATAACACATCTGCACATGTACTCCTGAACCTAAAATAAAATTTAAAAAACAAAAGAAAGAAGAAACGTTAAAATTATTAGAAATAAAGATAGAAGACTTCTTTACAACATCAAGGTAGTAAAGAATTTCTTAAACAGATCCCAGAACATGAATAGTACCAATAGGAACTGATACAACCCACTTAGTCGTTATTAAGAATGTTACACAAGTGTGACAAGAGCAGCTACAAATCAAAGCCTTTTAGCAACAGAAATAACCAACAAAATTAATGAGATATAGAATATGTAAAATCCTCCTATACATTAATAGAAAAATACAACTTGATGAGAACTTAGTCCAACGCCATGCATAGCCATTTCACAGGAGAAGAAAACAAAAGTTAATATATGAAAAGCATTCAATTTCTTAAGTAATTGTGGAATGAAAGGAACTCTCCTACTACGATGGTATGAGTGTAAATGAAGACAACCACTTTAAAAACTAATTCCCTAGTAAAGGTAAAGATACACATGCTTTATCACCCAACAATTCCACTGCTAGTTAATATATACAAGAGAAATTCTTTTTTTTTTTTTTTTTTTTTTTTTTTTTTTTTTTTTTGAGACGGAGTCTCGCTCTGTCGCCCAGCCCAGGCTGGAGTGCAGTGGCGCGATCTCGGCTCACTGCAAGCTCCGCCTCCCGGGTTCACGCCATTCTCCTGCCTCAGCCTCCCGAGTAGCTGCAACTACAGGCGTCCACAACCGCGCCCGGCTAATTTTTTGTATTTTTAGTAGAGACGGGGTTTCACCGTGGTCTCGATCTCCTGACCTTGTGATCCGCCCGCCTCGGCCTCCCAAAGTGCTGGGATTACAGGCGTGAGCCACCGCGCCCGGCCGAGAAATTCTTATATGTGTGCAACACACGACATGTACAAATGTTTCCAGAGCAGGATTGTCTGCAATACCTCAAATGTCCAGGGACAGAGAACAGATCAATTGTACCACATTCCCTCCTGGAGGACCACATATTGCTAAAAATAAATTACTCGAAGCAAATCAACAAAGATGAGTTTTACACATTTAATGTTGAGCAAAAAAAGCAAGTCACAAAAGAACATCTTATTAATTCTACCTAAATAATGATTACAAAACACAAAAACTAAGCAATATGTCGTGTGAAATATAAACATATGTGGAAAGACAAAATATAATGAAAAGGAAGAGAGTGATAAACACCAAATTCAGCATAATGATGAGCTCTGATAAAGAGAGTGACTTGGGGAAGGATAACACGAGAGCCTTCAAAGGTATCAGCGACACTCTTGTATCTCTAATCATGGCTGTGGGTACATGGTTTTTTGTCCCACTGTTACAAGTAATTTTTCATACATATTATTTAATTTTTTGAGAAATACAATTGAGAAAGCAAAACATCTTGTTTTCATTAAATAGTTTATTACATAATGATATTTTTGTAGTCAACACCTGCAGAAAAATGTTACTGTTACATATCAGTCTCCAATGATAGCATATTTATTGGTACATAAGAGAAAAAAAACTCTTTTCAATAACTATGAGGTCATATAATTGCATTTTTTTCTTCAGCTATATTCCCACATCACAAAAGCAAAGGGAGTGATCCAGTAATCTGCACACGGGAGTACATCAGACATTTTTATATCTTAAAACGAATAATAATAAATGTTTTGCCATTTAAAGCTGTGTCACTTGAACAAATTAATCTTTGTGGGCTTAAAATTTTTATACTAGATTTCAATAATCATAATACCTACCTAATGGGTTCACTGTGAACCTTCAATGAAACGTGGAAAGTGAGTTTACCAGTGCCTGGAACTTAAAAATCACTTAGTAAATGGTAGCTTTTAAAATTTATCATTGAGATTTTCTTGCTCTAAACATCACTTATTTTACCATTTACCAGCTTTGCAACTTGGGAATGGCTTCCTCCATTTCCTGAACTTTAGTTTCCACAATTATAAAACAGAATCAATATTATATGTGGGGTAAGGTTTATATGTGGACAATTCTTGACATAAAAGTAATTATTTAATTAATAATACCTTCCTAGCTGTTCCAAATGTAAAGCAGTCCCTTAAAATAGAAAGAAGACCCTGTAAACTATAAAGTTCTTAAGTACTTCGATTTACATTTTCCTTAGTATGAATTATTTACAAGTGCAGCAATGGGATTTTCTGACCTGTAACCAAGTCCTATTTGCAATTAGATCTTTAGCCTCACCTCTGACAAGCCCTATGTCTCCTTTACCAATTCTCTGACACCAAAACCCTCCAACAGCAGATAATTCTGGGTGCCAGGGCCTTGCAGAGCAGTTGGGAACATGGCATAATGTTACTTCTTAATTTTGGAGAGCCTGGGGACAATCGCCTGGGTGAAAGAAACAGCCAAACAGAACTATTCTTTCTCAGGATTGCCAGGGACACGGCAATCCCAAAAACTGACCCTGCTTTCAAGGGACAAGGAGACAATGGCTGATTAAGGCAAGGACACAAATAATCATCATGTAGCATACAGTTTTCACACAGAGGGCAATGATGAAAAAAATTGGAGTGCTAGGACGTGCAGAGAGTAAAAAGGAAATTCACGTCAGGAAAATTCAAACTGAATAAAAGTTGGCACACTTTTATGTAGACTTTAAGATTGTCTTTTGGAAGCAAGGTTACTAGATAATGAAAATAGGCTTAATTCAAAGAGAAATATTTTACATATGTTATCAACCTAATAAAATATTCTCACGCCTTGGGGGAAGAGTGATGGTGATACACCAAACAAGGTGCTACTGACAAATCCAAATTGTAGTGAGAATTTCAACACACTCAGGCACTAAAATGTTGATCATTCAAATCAGCAAAGGCAAGTAAATGTTTATGTATTCATAAAATTCAAGTTCAAGTTTATTTGGGAAGAATCATACATAGAGCCACCTAAGTTATCTTGCTGGCCACAAAGTAGCAAACAACCTGAGACTGACTAGGGAAATACAGGGCTCAAACAGAGAAAAGGAGGCAAAAGACCAGGTTGTGCAGCCACAACTCAAGTCCCTTGGCTGCCATACATTTGCCAAGTCCTGACCCTGTTCCCATGCCAACTAAAATGAAGGCACATGCCTCTAATCACCCCACCCATCCAGGACTCAAACCTCAAATCATCCACAACTCAGACCCTAGGTAACTGTCCTCCCATCACCAACCACTCAAGCATTTCAGCAGATATGCATAGACCCTCAATTAGAATGTTAAATGGATGATGGATCTTCTGTTCCCACTCTCCTTCACTCTACAGCATTTCTGAGAGGTGACTGCATGGCTTTTTGAGTATTCTTGAAGAAGTAAATTCTCTATTCAAATGGTAGCCAGTTCCCCTAATGAACCGCTCCAATGATTTTTTTTTTAAAGTGGCATCTTTTTAAATATCACACCACAATCAGCCTTCCCAGAACTACTTCTTCCCAGTGGATCTAATCCTATGGTTCCAAACTATTTTAAATTTAAAAAGAGAGGCAGAAAGAGAAAGAGAGAAGAGATGTAAAAGAGAGACAGGAATGAACCTCGAATTAGGCAACAGAGCTGCCCACCATATTTCATCCTTTTAGATTAAACGAACAAATAATTACCTAACTATAGCTCTGTATCTCTAATAAAATGAAGCAATGAACAAGAAAATAAAAATGTAATTAAAAATTCCACATATGAACATAAAAGTTGAATACTGTAGGGGGAGAGAGAGGACAATATCTTTGGGCAAAACTCTGATTCACATCCCAAATATTTAGACTCTCCTGACACCACCAACTTCTTCCATTTCCCTACTTGATCTAGCACTGGGCTTGATGACCCTGTGGCTCCAGACTAGACTAAAAAGAGAGGGGACACAAGGGAACTTGACAGATGGAAGAAAAAGGTGGGTTCAGAGGTGAAAGTGCTATTTCAATTTACATCTCCAAATATGGAGGCTAATTCTTGCTTTGAGTGGCTGGGTACATGTACTACGGCACTGAAGTATACTTTTAGGCCATTTCTGCTAAATCTGACACAAGATATATACATAGTTCATTAGAAACCTAAGTGTGAGCAAATGAGGACAATATTTGAGGACCCCTAAGTATAGTGCTCCCAAGTGTACAGCCTCAGTGATTCTTGAATCTCTGCATGGATGCCTCCTCCCCACCTACTCAGCCCTAAAAGTGAAGCAAGAAGGTGAAATCCAGTGCTAACAGTCCATCTTTGGCCAACTTCTAGACTCTTTCTTGTCCTTAGGGACCCGCCATCCACACCTGCTTATAGGGTGGGGGCTGCAGAAGTTCTTCTAATTAAGGTCACATGAGCATGCCAGGCAGTCCCCTGGGGTCTTTTTCAAGAAGTGAAACCTGGTAAGGCAGAAACTTTTTCTGCACCTCCTTCAGCTATGGTAAGTGTTAAACCAAAGTAATTGGAGCGAAGCCCAAGGTAGCGGAAGCTACTGATTTCCTGTCACCTGGTATCTATCAGCGATTTCATCCTCAGGCCTGGACTACCTCACTCACCCTCCCAGTGTGCTTGAGAAACGAGCTGCACCCACTGAACTCTGCAGCCGGCATCCAAATCAGCCCTTGAGATTTGAGGCCTCGGAGACTCACAGGTAAGGCATCAATTTGTTTTCTTTACATGACTTAAAGGAGGTGATGGATAAGGTGTAGAATGGTTTTGAAAACTGGAGGTTCTTGGTCTTAATTCTAGAGTTTCCCTAGTCAGACTTCCTAAAAGTTCTATTACTTAAGGAGGGGTGATGATATCAAGGCTTGCTGCCCACTCACTCCTCTAACCACTCTCCCTCTCAACAATTACCCTATGCAGTCAACTGTGAAATCATTCCACAAAAGTAGTAGATTGCAGCATAGAGATTAAATCATGGTTTCTAAACCATTGGGTTCAAACTGGAGCTCTACCACTTACAAGCCATATAACCTTGGGCAAATCGCTAAACCTCTAAAGGCTCAACTTCCTCATCTATAAAATGGGGTCAATGGTAATACC